TAAAAGTAAAAAATAAAGAATACACCCCTGCATGCGTGCTCATTGGTTGCATTTGTTTAGTATACATAAACATCAAAGAAAAGGCAAGCATTCGTTCGTTCGTTCGAGAATATACCCCGCTCGAAGGATGTGGTGGAAGTCTAGTCCTTATGCAGTGAGGGGTGCGAGGGGCGCACCCTCTCCTGGATAAATAATTCTGGGCTTTTTTTGAGTCTGTTTTTTTTTTTTTTTCAAGTCATGTATTTGAAGTTCACGAGACAGGGCTATACTCTTGCTCGGCGCGCTCACGGTGCTGGCTGTCGTTGTAGATTGCCGCCTGATTCTCTTGTTTGGAGGGAAAAGGCAACGAGACCTGACTGACTGATGTCATGTCAGGGATGTTTTTGCTACAGCAGTTCACAGGGGGGGGAATCTCTTTATTTGTTGCATCTGTTGGAATGATTTATTTTTAGTTTTAGTTTTGGAGGCGTTTCGCTCCCGGGTCATCGTTCTCGCACCCTGTTTTGGCGTATTTTGGAGGCTTCCACCATTTTTGAGTTTTTGCGACAAGTGCCATTTCCATCGTTGACATGAACCGTGCTTGGCTAGTGATCTAATGTATGCCCACGTGAAGAGAATTTCCTAATATTTTTCAACAAGAGAGCCATGTGTGTCTTCAAAGCGGGGTCGACTGTACCTTGACTCGGATCTGTCTCTGTCGGGAGACGCGTATCAATTCGTGTATTGCCAGCCAGCTAGAGAAGCTCATGTGCCTGTGAGCGGCTCAGGTGGTAACCACGCCACCTGATCTTTGGGGTGGTGGTGTGGGTTTGGACCTCGGTGTAGTCGAATTGTTGAAAGCAAGCCGACAAATATCGTCGGCGTTGCTAGTCCCAAGCTTTTTATTTTTATTTTAGTCGCGTGTTGCGCGTGTGCTGACACCACGAACGGGAAGGACCTCAATTAGCCGACACACTACGCAATAATGGTCGTGATGGACGCGGGTACGCAATAAAAAAACAACACACACATCCGATCCTCGGGAAACACGAAATGCAACGTCTACATACACACTGTCTGTCCCTTGTACACACGGTAGGCACTCTGTCTGTCCCTTTAACACGGTACGTACTGCTTTTGCCGTCGCGATAGACGCGCACCGTTCCACGAACGACCAGTTGTCAAACCTCACTACGCAAATAAGATTGTCCTGCCATCTACCCCTTATCGCTCAAATTACGACTACGCAGCACACTAAAGGTAAGGCAGCAACACGCTTGCGATGCTTTACCACCCATCCATGCATGTAAGGGAAGAAAAAAAAAACTATGGCGGACCGTCTCTGTTGTCTGTATCTTCAACCGTGCTGCCGTTGCTTTTCTTCATGGATATCGGCACAGAGAAAAAATGAGGAATGCGCATCTCCTACGCGAGCACGGCGTGCAGCCCAAGCGACAGAGACGATAACCTGATGACCTTTGCAGCATCTTCCGAGCATAACAGCAGCCACCGCATGTGCACAACGGTCACTATAGACTAAGGAAGAAAATCACAAAAGAAAAAAATGAAGACGACTCTTAGACTATACAAAAAGATCTATAAAAAGAGGACCCTCAACGACAAGTCAACCAATCTGTCTGGTCGTTCCGAGGTGACGATGTAACGCAGATCTTCTTGTCGACGGAGAAACTGGTTATCGCCCCACAGCAAGCGATAGCTGCTCAAACGGCTGTGAGAGGTCTTGAAATCGTCTCAGCTACCCAGAACTGCTGGTAGTTCTCGGAGGTTCGCAGTGTGGGCTGAGATCGGCCTTTTCGACCCGGTCGAGCAAGGGGTCCGCTATGCTACTGAAAACTCCACAGACGGAAAAAAAAGACTTTTGATCGACTGAGACCCAAGCTAGAGCTTGGGAACGAAGTGGGCCTTTTTATTCTCACAACATGCTCCAGAGAGAGAGGAAAGGAAAGGCGGCAACAGTTTTCTGCTTGGAAAGCGATTGGCTCATCGTGTGTACGCAACACACGGAGATCACACCCGACGGGGGGCAGGGGATGGACGAACTGAGCTTCGCCCAAGCGATAAAAATTAAGGCAACCGCGGTAAAGGCAAAAATTGGAAGGAAAAATAAAATGTAAAATGTGTGACCTTTATATTTTCCCAGTCCTCGGCCTTACCCTTCCGCACGTGCGCTGGCATTCATTCTGGCGTTTGTTGTGCGACCCCGGTTCGGCGGAGAAGAGAAGGAAGTCACTTGGCGGGGGCGGGCGGGGACGACAAGAGCGCTCTTCTCTGAAAATTCCCTCGTGGGCCTTCGTTGTTACATTTTTTTTTGTCGCCAAGAGGGAGGGGTATTCGGGGTGCTGGAGCGAGTGTCGCTCGTGTTCCGCGTTTTCCCTTTGGGAAATGGATGCACTTCCTCCGCCGCCTAAAAACATGACGATAGGCAAGACAAATTGAGTTGCCTCATGGACACCCGTCAGACCCTACGCCCACGGCGCCATGGCTACCTACCTTGCCTTTTGGATCTCCTCGCAAAAACAGGCTGCTGCTGTTGTAACCCTCTTTCTCTCTCTCTCCCTCTCTGTCTTTCTGTGTCTCTCTTTTCTGCACGCTTGCCCTAAACGCACAATCAAACCCGGAATTACTTCAAACATGGCAACGTCAACCGATAAATACCGAAAAAATATACAAGTGGAACCGAAAGCAAAGTCCTTGGAGGTCTAGTCTATGGTACAATTTCGAACACGGATGAGGTCGGCAAACTCTAGTCCCTCGTGTGTTTCTCTCTCCTTGTCTATTTGCAGCCAGCCTGTCTCCCACACAACCACTAGGGATCAAGGTCGACGGCACGAAAGGGAGCGTTCGTTGCTCAAAACAAAAATGCCGCGACAATTGGCGTTATTTTCTTCACCGGATCAGCCGGCCAAAAATGAACACAGCATTTCATTACGCCTACACCACCAGGAGTAGCTCCCCACACTCTTCCTCTTGTTCTCCGCCGCCCAACTGCAGCAAATACAAACAACCAAGGCTACACACACATGACATGCCATGCCATGCATGTCCACATGGACTGCAAACACAGGCACAGCCCCCTAAAAGACAAGAGACTTGGCAAGTAAAACGAGGAACTGCAAAACAGTACCCGGCAGATGCAAACGGGCCCAAAACAACAAACAATACAAACCCCAAGCCCTCACCAACAAACACGAAAACACCGACAGCTCTCTTAAGAACGGGGCAGTACAATCTAGAACGGGAAAAACAAGCCTTTCCCCAAAGGACGAGTGCGCACATATTCTTGAAAACCACAAACACAACAATGAGAAGGTGCAGCGGTATATTACGCGTAACCCTTAAAAAAACAAACAGTACATAAATACCAAGGTGCAGTGTATCATAGCTGCTCTCATTTGGATGGCGTGCCGAAAAAGGCCGTGAGCTTGGACTGCCTCTTGTCCCTGGCGGCGGCGGCGGCAGCGGCAGCGCCGGTCGTCTTGGAACTCCCCTTTCTCGGGCTCGGGCTCCCGGTGGCGGCGGCGGTTCGCGCCTTCTTCTTGCCGCTCCCCGCGGCCGGCGGCCCGGGGCTGCTGGATGCCTTCGGGCTAAGGGGAGCCGCCGACCACATCCCCGCCCCGCGGCTTCCCCATACTCCTTCGATTTCGCTTTCGCTTTCGCCGCCCGTGCCGGCACCGGCGCCCATTCTCAAGGCCTTGACCATGGTGGCGGCGGCACCCGAGCAGCCCGTTGTTGTCACAGGGGGTGACGTGGTGGAAAACACGGAGGACGACACCCCCGCCGCCGTTTTCTCGGGCGGCGTCGCGTCCCCGTCCAACATGTCGAGGTACCTTCGTTTCTGAGTTCCCCCGCGGCTCTCGCTGCCGCCGCCGCCGCCGCGACGGCCAGGTGACGCAAGCTGCTGCTGCTGCTGCTGCTGCTGCTGCTGCTGCTGCTCGTGCGGTTTCTTCTTCTTGAAGAAAGTCGTGATCGCCGGGAGGGGCTTGGCGGGCTTCTTGAGCTCTATCGCTGCGCTGCAGTCTTCGGCATCGTACCTGGCATTCCGGGGGGGGGGGAGGGGGGATGAAAAAGGATCGTTGTCAATGCTTTCATCCTTGAGCACATAACACATAGGGCCTGTCGTAGGTCTAGGCCTAGCCTAGCATCCCAAACATTCCGCCATGAGACATGAGAGCAACGCCGCGCGGACGGTAGAAAAACACCTCACGTGTGTGCATGCGGTATCCACCTTTCGCTCACAGCAGCAGGACATGCGAGCGGGGGACTTCATCCATCTCTTTTTCCTTCTCCCTGTGCCGCGACTATCTGGCCCGCATATCCTTGCCGACGCACCCTCGTTGTTGATGTTGTTGTTGTCGCTTCTCAACAACGCAACAGAAACCGTACGTGCCAGTCCAACAACTAATGGACGCCTTCCGTGGTCACGGCCCATACCCCAAAACAAGGTACGCACGTCACCCTTGCCAACGGACAAAAAAGGGTATGCATACCTACGCACGTCCCCCATTCGGGCGGGTACTACACGGCACGGCACCAACGACACGCACCGCATAGTGTTCATCTGCTTGCTGACGGGATGCCACACGAGGTCCTCCCCGCTGTACGGCGTGTGGTTCTTCAAAAAATTTGAGGCCTAAAAGTTTTGGGGAGCCAATCAGAAACAGCGGTGCAGGCGAACCGGCGGGGGCGGGGGGTGGAGAGGCCACGCTCAAGAAGAAACGGTTTTGAGTCGGGGAGTAAGCGGAACACATCGCCAACTGCTGAAACCCGCCTTTGCGATACTCATGCCCTGCATGACGACACGCTCCGCCGATAGCTGCAGCACGGCGGAAAAAGCAAGCGCTCCCGACCCGTGTTCTCGCGGGAAATTGATCTTGGGGGGGGCAACAGCAGTAGGTCATATCGATCGATTGGTCCATTGTTTGCGTTGAAAACACCGACCATCTACTGAGTGCAAACCACAGCAGCGTATTTTCTTTGGCTAGCTTCGACAGTGCCAATCGGTTGACCAATCGAAATACGCCAGTGAGCCTTCAGAAAGCAGGGACAAAAGAACATGACACGCTTATCAAGTCCTGACGGGTTTATGTGTTTTGATTATGAACATCGCCTTACCAACGAAAGGAGGTATGGCTCAGTGCGGCTGAAAAACAGCAAAATGTATTCTAAAGGCCATGCATGATCTGGGAAACCCGTGAGTGTGTGTGTACCAGGTGCCGCCGGGTATGTTTTCCCGTGGTTTCGTCCCATCTATCCTGGGCGCCAGCCTACACCTGCCGGTTATGTTGTGGCGTACAGTATACTGCCGCCGGGGTGGCACAAGAGGAATGCAAACACACGGGCTCTTAGTCGCAAGAATAACAGCAGTACGTTACTCATGCATTCCCTCAAGCCGGGAATCGCGTGATTGTCACGGGCGTGTAATTTACACTCGAAGACATCGTACGATTCCACATGCACGGGTAAGTAGCTGCATGCGCATAGATTATGATACCAGGCACATTTCACACTCCGCGCACGAACAGCGCCACAAGAGTCCAACCAACCACTACCAACAGCGAGAGGCATTCCTAGTGGGGGGGTTGTACACTCGTAAACCCCCCCCAAAAAGAAACCCTACAGCATCACCTCACCTCTTGGCCCTTGCATCTCATCCATGCCGCGGCGTCTTGCGCTCCTCTAAGAATCACGGGCATCCTGCGCTCGGTCGTTACAAAACAAACAAAAAAAACGACAAAAACATCACAACAAGCGACCCGGAGCGGGTTGGTTCGGTGGTATGTGTGTACATGTACATCTTTCTCGCACAACAGGCTTCACGCGGAGGCGTGTGTGGTGAAACAACCGCCCCCCGGGGGGGGGCTGCGACAAAACAAAGTGCTGGGACTTAAGGAAGGAAGGAAGGGAGGACAAGCACAACTAGAGTCATGGAGGAGGAGGTGATTTTTGGGAGTCGGGGAGCGTTTGTCATGCCCAGTTGCACGAAATAGTACACAGAAAAGTGTAGTACTCTACTTACATTGAAAGAGTGTAGTACACGTCTCACCACGAAAACTGGGGGGACTGTCGCCAAAATAAGTAGGACGGAAAAACACACACGTCTTCTCTCAAGCTAAGGGAACCGGCCATAGCCCTGCACCGCGCCACACCACACCTCTCGTGGAGCCACTCCAACCGCGGGGCCGCCTTGGTGGTGAGCACGGCATACGAAAACATCAGACTCCCCCCCCGGTCCTCCTCCTCCACCTCCCTCTCCAGGAGCGCCGCCTGCCCCCGTAGCCCCCCCTCCCCCTCCCCAGCGAGATCCGCGTGCCCTCCCCGCCCCCCCGTCGTCGGCACCGCCTTCCCGTCACCGATGCCGCCGCCGCCGCTGCTGCTGGTGCTGCTGCCGGCCTTCCCACCGCCGCCGTTGCCGTAGCCTTGGATGGCGTCGCCGCCTTGTTGCCACGTGTCGTACAGCACGGCGAACTGCCATCAAATGTTTTTACGCGGCACCACAACAAAAAACACGGACACAACGCAGCAACAAAAAAAATCGTCACGGGGAAACAACAGGACAGCAGCAGCTGGGCAGGCAACATCAGACACGATGATGGCCCTTACGTTCACGGACGGCATACGTGAGCGGCCTCAAACACAGCAAGCCAGCAGGGTATGCAGAGCACCTTTTATTTCTCTCGGGTGGGTGCACGTGCGACTGTCACGGCGGTTGCGGGCGGGGCGGGGGGGGACTCGGCAGATTAACCCGCACCACGCATCGTGTGCTATTAATACTAACTACAAATCGGGATCAACCCCAATCAAGAGAGACAGCAGAACTCGACAACGAAAGGCGGCGGGAAACAACCACATGTCGCATACCAACACCGACAAGCGTCCGATACGCACGTGCTACTGCCGTCTCGTCCGCGGTGACAAGGGCCTGAACTTTTTTCTTTTTCTTTTCCTCGTGGACAGGGTCTAGGCTATTCGCATTTTCCCTGGTGACGGGGCCCCGGCAAACCATCGTTTCCTTGCGGAGAGGAACTCAAACACACATTTATTTCCTTTGGAGCGACATCATCGTACGAGTGCCTGCCTTTTCCGGGTTCCACGATAAGACAGCCAAAAACGAAATGCTTGGCGCCACTATGCACATCAAAATCGCCGCGGGATACCACCACCCCCCAATATCAAAGGCACAGCCGGAAAAATTTCCTGAAGAAAAATCCAGGAAAAATCAGCAGCGCGATTCCGTACGCACCAGCAGGGGCCTGTCGTCCGCGTAGTGGAAGTAGTACGGCTGTCTCTCCCCCTTTTCGTCGCGCTTCCACTCGTAGAAACCCGTGAAGGCCACCACGCCGTGCCGCCGCCCGACCAGTCGCCGAAACGACGGCTTTTCCGCCGCCTTTTTTTTCGTGTCGGCAAACAACAACAACAATGACGACAGAGGAAGGAAGGGGTGGGCGGGGAAGACACGGGTGGACTGAGATTTTGAGTCGCCGTCCACTATTCAGAGGATACAAAGGTTGGGGCAGACAGGGGTGGAATGAGGTTTTGAGTCGCCATCCACAGTTCAACAGAGGAAAGAAGGGGTGGGGCAGACACGCGGGTGGAATGAGGTGTTGTGTCGCCGCTGAAACGACGGCGTTTCCGCCGCCTTTGTGTTTTGGGAAACAACGACAACAACAGAGGAGTTGAGGCGATGTGCAGACAGCGGTGGAATGAGGTTTTGTGTCGACGCCGAAACGACGGCCTTTCCTCCGCCTTTGTTTGGCAAACAGCAACAGAGGAACGAAGGTGAGGGGGCAGGGGCGAGATCAAGCTTATGCCACCGTTCACAAATTCGATCCGGGCATTCGCCAAGCGGGCCAAGCGGGGTGCTTACAACACATTCCTCCCTCCCTCCCACCAAAGCACCGGTATCGATGCAACTTCTCCTCTTCCGCTACGGGTGCCGACCAAAGGGGAAGCGTGACGGCAGGATGAATACCACCCACCGAAGGCCCGGCCACACGCGGTGGCCACGACATCGAACACCCCACCCCCACCACCATCATCGCCACCATCACTAGCCAAACGAAACCGATACGCACAACAAATCTCGGGGCGTTAAGACACGGACAGTGCTGCGACGAAGCGATTCATGCACACACAAGCAGACGAAGAGCAACATGGCCGGAATCGCTTTATACCACCCCGCGCCGTTTTGTGCACCAATCCACGAGAACGGCCACCCCCGTTTCACAGAAACATCTCTACAGAGAAGAGAATTAAAGGACCCCGTACAAAGTTAACAAAAAAACACTCTACAGGGACAACGGCAGCTCGGACAGTACAAAAAACAAAACAAATGGCAGGAAAAAAAGAACGCAAACGACGACAATCAAGAACCGCTATACTACCGACGCAGCAGCAGAAATACAGCTGTGCTCGCAGGGAGATAGGTCGGTGTATGGTACGATACCGCAGCTCACCGTTTCGCTCCTGGCGTTAAACATCCGGAAAAAGTCGGGCTTGTCGCCCTTCTTCGTGAAGGAAGGGACGAGGCCCCACCTTGCGGTGGTGTTGTTGGCGTCGTAGATGTCGTAGATGTCGCCATCATTACACCGCAAGTATTTGTTGTGGAAAAAGCGGGTACCACGAGCGAGCCGGACAAGCACGGCGGGCGGAACCTTGGTTAAGCGCACAGACACAAACGCGGAGGTTCATCACGTCTTCAGCAATACCACTTGTATCTGAAAAAAACTAGCAGAAAAGACGGGCACGAAGTCTCGTCAAAACGTTGCCAAGCAAGCAAGGGCCTATCCCTCTCAAAAGACGGAACGAAAGAGAGAGAGACGGCCGGGCCGCAACAGTCTTCCACCCTTCCTTCCCACTCGGGTGCAGCCACAAAAAAAAAGAAAACATTCTGCGAGCGAGATTTTGGTTCGAGCCTCCGGCGGGGCAAACAGACAGAAAGATAGACAGACCGACAACACAAGACAACGAACAGAAGACGCGCTTAAAGGAGGCGGAGGAGGAGGAGGGTTCTCGGAACAGCAGCGGACATGCCGTGCAAGCAACGCGTGCGGCGGGCCTCTCTTGTCAGACAAAAACGCAACGCCTGATGATGATGATGAAGGAGTCGTGTTTACTTGCTGCTGCCGATTAGCCGCAAAAACAACATTGAAAGCCCACGACATCGAATGGCATGGCTCGCAGCTCCGATGTCGAAGACTCAGCTCTGGCTGCTCCCGCATGCGATTTGGTTCAGGCATTCCGTGAGCAACCAACCCGTCATTGCCTGTCGCCGGAAAACCCGCGGCCGGTACAAACCCGCAAGCCGTCCCATGGAAATATCAACATTTACTTCTTATTGATACTCGCACTATAGTAGACATAATTAAGAAAAGACGCAAGGCCAAGAAGAGTACAAAGAAATCAAACGAGAGCTGGCACCACGCCAAAAGCGACAGGTCCAGATGGGGAAGGTATCGAAGACACATGTGAAACGTGTGTTTGGACCGTACAAACACTAACGAGCCAAGCAATGAGCGACGCTAACCTCATCGAGCGGAGTGCGCTGCCGCCGCCGGCAGTTCTGTAGGCGATGGGAGTTGCGTTTCCCGGGTGGGCATTCTCCCTCCGCTGGTCTGCAGGAAGAAAATTCGCCAAGAGATAAGGCATGGGGTTGACGATCTCGTCGTGTGCAAGACGACACAAAAAATGGCGACAAGAAAACACGTGGGGTCTTACAATACTTTCTTTGTCCTGAGTAGGTCTGCCCCTGAAAAAGCAAGCGGTTTCCTAAATGACCAATGGGACGACGCGGCTCAACAAACGAATCCGAAAAGAGCACCGCAGAAGTGCATTCGAAAACGTTGCGAGTGAAGGTGTCCTATCTAAATTTTACAAATTTTACCGACATCAAGGCAAATTGAAACATTTGAAGAAGACAGGAACAACAGCACAAAACAAGAGCATGAAGCACAGATTTCTTGGCGACATCGACATTCTTGCCGAAAAATGGCCGTCGTCTTTTCCGACTCTCTCCTCATTCCCGCTTCTGGTTGGGACCCGGCGCTCAAAGTGTTGCACACCAAGGCAACGTTGAACTACAATACCGCTTATCCCATCAAGTATCTACTACCTGGTTTTTGCATTTATAAAAAAAAATCCCGTGAACAAGCGACAACACAACCAAGCGCAAGCGTGCCAAGAACCCCTGCCGTCATTTGACATTTGATGTTGCGAAACATCACTCAAAAATATACTACAAACAACACCCACGCTGTTGCGCGGTGGCGACCCTGCGGCGTGTCCACGACAATGCCTCTACAATACGAAGGTAGCTCCTCCTGCTGCTGTGTCCGGCTTGCTAGCGGGCGGGGGGGGGGGTGTTCGCGTGCTAACCTTCTATCGCCCTGCGTGGTAACTATGTACCTCCGCGCTGCTCTTTGTGAACGAGGCAGCAGTTGTAGCGGCCGTGTACCACAGTTTTGGGCACGTACACGACGTCCTGAGCACCGCCGGCATCAGGCACTACAGGAAGAGGTTCTGGGTGTCACAAGCTAATTGATGCTACGGGCGGAAAGAACTTTATTGCTTCTTGTCAAACGTCGCCCGGATCGGCGATTTCCACTCCGCCTCAACATGTGCTCACGCTTTCAACAGCACGGTCAGACAAGAGCACTCTCACTTCACCTATCAGAGGGCACTCACAGTGACTCGCGCGCCGGAGGGGAACGTTGCCCCCGAAACCCACCGCCGATGCCAGCGCCTCCGGCGCAACGGTCTGCCTGCAACGAACGAACGGAAATAACAGTGAAGCGTTTATCAGATTCTCAGAGCGAACCGAGGGTCTGAAGGTCCGATATCGTGGGGATTTGCAAACATAGGGGGGGGGGGGGGGGGGGGG